ATCATCATCATCATCATCATCATCATCATCATCATCATCATCATCATCATCATCATCACTGACGTGGGAAAAAGACTCGTCCAGAGCAGGAAAGGCACCTTAATCCTAGGGGAGGACGGGCCAGCTGTCAACAGCATTTCCATAGCGCAGCGGCCTAACCCTGACCGGGCGTGTGCTTCTTACTGCCAGTTTCACTGCTCAGTTCACTGATTCAGATCTGAAGCCAAAGTAAGCTAACAGCATCTGCACTTTTAGCAGACTCTTCTCCAGTGTGAACTTAGCCCTAAGTGGGGTTTTAATAGCCTTCAGGGATTAGTCACAGTTCCGTGTATCTGCAGGAGAAATAGTCACTGACTCAACAAATTAACTTCAACCATTCATTCAGGCACTGCGAACAGATTAAAAACAGAGAAAGAAATGATCTCTACCTAAAAAGTGACTGCAGTCTTTTAGGGGAATACAAAACAAGTTCAAAAATAAACTGACTATAAGACAGAGATGGTGTCTCAGTTTTCTGAGACGCAAACTGCAGCAGCGCTCAGAGGAGGACAGCACACACCTCCAGCAGAGGGAAAAAGACCGGCGTCCTTTCTGAGTCACCAAGGACCAGGCATCACACGCAGCCCACAACGCCTTCCTCAAAGACACACTGAGACTACCTGCTTGCTACCAGGGTCCAGGCACCTAAGACACATCTACTGAGACTATGACACACTGACATTTGAGCAGGTGATGGTCATACTCAGACACAGTGAAACAGGAGGAGGCTGGCTTCTACAACAAGAAATCCAGCAGGGAACCCCGACTGCCCAGCTGAGGGGACTGAAAGCAACGGCAATGATGGGACGTCAGAGTTTGGCCAACAAAAACAGAACACTGCCGGAGACAGGGCACAGGAAGACGAGAGACGCACTATCTACGTGATGGAGTTACTGCAACGGCATACACACTGCTCAGTGCTGGGCTACACGCTGTCATGACGTCACTTCCCACCTGGTCCAACACCACAGCCCCGATGCACTCAAAGGAGAATGTAGTTAAAATCTAGATCTAGGGATTTTTATTTCTTACATGTCCATGGATTATATACGGACAATGACTTCACTATACAAGGTTTTCTTTCTCTTTTGCTTTTCTCTCCTTCCTTCCTTTTTCTTTCTTTCTTTTGACCTGTTGAGCCTTGGTCCTAGAGTTTTATGACCTCTCTCAGACCAGTTCTGCAGGAATTCACTACACTTGCCCCCCATCAGTTTATAAAGCCCTCATAATCCATTAACTCGCCGGAAGGCACCAGCAGACAGAGCTCAGAAAGGTTACATGGGTGGTCCTAACACGGAGCCCAGGTCTTGTGCCAAGACGCCTCACACGTAACACAGCCTAGAGCACTGAAATAACGGGGCATGCAAAACTCACAAAGACCATCAACACGGAATATGACTTAAGAACTGAAACAGAGGATCTTCATTGTGGTTCTCTCTTGTGCTTCTAGAGGTGGTTTTTAGAGCATGACAATGTGTAGGCAGGGCCCCCAATGGGCTGTGGAGGCCACAGGGCTGCTTGTCAGCCACATCTACCTGCAGCCTCCTGGTGGCCCAATGCCCAGCTCTGACAATGGGTATGGGGTCAGCAGTGGTCTGATAAGTAGGGTTTTACCACTGACCTGATGACAGGAGGGATGTTACTAATGGCCTGATAACAGGTGGTTGTTACCAATCAGTGGTCTGATAAGGGGGGGGGCGTCATCAACCGAGGTCTGATAACAGGTGAGGCGTTATCAATGGTCTGATAATAAGAGGCGGGTGACACAAACAGTTCAGCCAATAGTCTCTGTAGCAAGAGGGGATAGCCAAGGGCCTTTCTCCTTCCCTAGAGTGAAAAGGAATGAATCCCAGGAGAAACCTGAGAAATCAGAACTGCTACACCATTTTCCCCCAGAGCACATTTATTCCTGCCGGTAATGCCAGCTGGACAGACAGGGGGTTCACAGTCCGGTAACCACCGATTTCCAAGGGGACACGAAGATCAGCACGATGGCACGGCTGCGCGCCAGGTGAGCCTCAGGTGAGCCTCAGCACGCAGTTCACAGACAGCATCGAGAGAGGTGTCTACACGAGTGGCCACAAGTGCCCACTCATAGGAGCCTCAGGGGCCGCTGGCAGCCCCCGGCATGTCCTCTCCTGCTGACCCCCAAACCCTAAACGTGGACAACCCTCCTAAGGGTGCCAGCATCTGAGGCTCTGGTGGGAGGAGTCCCTTCCCACCAGCCAGCAGCTCTCTCAGGCTCCCGCCCCGGGCCATCTGCCCAAGTCCCCACACACGCCACTGGTCTGCCTCACTTTCTGAATTCCCTCGACTCTTAAGGTTCTAGTGCTGGACATGTGCTTTGAAATCACATTTCTATGGAAGCTTGCAGTCTCAACAAGTAAGGAAATTATGGCAAGAGCTACTCAGGGGCCTCCCAGGTGACAGCATGGAGGGCCAGGGGCAGAAGGTCAGTTTCTGACGCTGAGTCCACCGTGGAGACTCCGCCACTGAGGTCAGAGGTGATTCCCATGATCGGAATCACCTGGGTCAGTGCGCCATCAACCCCAAATCACCTCCAAATAGGCTCAAGTCCTATGCTCTGCTCTTTAATAAGGACGCGGCCCAGGCGAAACCAGACGTGTGCTCTGCATCTAAGCCAGTCTATTCTACAAAGTTGAATATTATCTCTGGATCACCCGTGCTTGCTATTATTTGGCTGGTTCAAAACAACAACTTTCAAACAAAATGAACTACATCCTCTCGTTCAAATTTGTATTTTGATAATAACCTAACACAAATACTATTTTACTGTGAAAATGTTACAGTAATGGTCTGTTATAAAGATGAATTTATTTATATCTTAAGATACGCTTTATAATGAACTTTTGAACAAAATCAATACACAATGTGTATTTAACCAACAGCAATTACACTAAATGCTTATTTATTAAATATTTTCTTCTATAAGCTGAAGCCCTACAATATATAAGAGAACTGACGGGAACTCAGTCTACAATACACTAAAAAGGAGTCTGCAAGTAAACAAAGCGCAAATGTGCATATAAAGAAACGCAGGCTATGACTGGGACTGACTGTGTCCACTGGGCTGAAGGAACCAGCGGGGTCTCAGTAAGAGGAACAGCAGGAGGAAGTGGATCCAAACGGAGGGGACAGCAGGCAGGGCCGGGTGGGGGGGTCACCTCTCAGTACCCCCGCTCCCCACCCCGAGGGTGGTGGGCAGTGACAGAGGCCGGCTTTCTGGGCTGCGGCACAAGGCGGGGAAGGAGCGGGAGAGACGGGCAGGAGCCCGTCGGGGAGGGACCCCGTCAGACTGCCACCACGCGGGAACTCATCTCCTAACTTAGCTCTCCCCCCACAAGGCGGCCTGTACAAGCACCTCGAAGGCCAGTCTGTAAAACGCAGCTGTGAAGCAACACACAAGTAACCGGGCGCCACCCGAACCTCCTGAGCAGAGCTCTGACCAGAGTCTGGTGGAGAAATGGACATGCAGGGGGCCACCTGGAGGTCGAGGCCTGGTCAGGAGTCCGTGCAGGACACAGGGAGGACGAGGCCGGCCTGAGCCAGGGCAGTGTCAGCACAAGGGCAGGGCAGATGCTACCACAAGAAAGAGAACTCCTTTCAGGCCAGAAGAACGCCTGGAAAGAGAACACCAGCTACAAGAGCTCTGGGCGTGGGGTGACCTGTGAGGGAGGGGGAACAGGAGAACTAGCAAATGCATGAACGAACGAATGAATGAGCACACAAGTACCCCCTGACACCCCCTGACAAGGGTGGCTGGCACAAGCTGTAGGGACCTCGGGGAACACACTTGATCCTAGAAAACCCAACCGTGGAGACATTCCGTCTAAAGTAACTTTTACAAAAGAGAAGTCAATTTTACTAACAGGAAGGGTTTCTAACTACTCTTTGGAAATCATCCTACAAGGTGCCTGAGGGCGGGGCAGCCCAGCCCTGCCCTGAGGCTCCCCTCCTGCCTCATGGCTGGCCACAGCCCACTCCCCGCTCCCCACTCCCCGCTCGGGGCTCTCTCCCCCTCTAGAACCTTAACCCCACATTTGGGCTTGGCTCCCATTCCTGGCACAGAGCTCCTAAAACCCCTGTCATTTCCTGAGTGACAGGAGCATCTTGTGTTACCCATACCGCGCCCCTTTAACCACACCAGGGCTTGGGCTGATTCCCCAGATGGCTTCAGGATGGGGGGGGGGGTCTGCTGGGGGAACCCACCAAGTGATTGGAGGATGGGGACTTCAGCCCACCCCAGACCTCCACGGAGGGGAGAGGGGCCTGAGACTGGGAGGATCACCAGCGGCCAACGATGTATTTAATCAATCTCGGCTCTGCAACGAGACTGACGTAAAACCCCCAAATGCCGGGGCCCCGGGGCTTCCGGGCTGCTGGACACATGAAGGTGCTGGGAGGGTGGTCCCCAGAGAGGGCATAGGAGCAACGTGGCCGCCCACACGGTGGCACGTAAGGCACGAAGCCGTGCGCACCCCAGGCCCTGCTGCACACCGTGCTCTCTCCCTGCTCAGGGTTCTCCAGCCCTGCTTCCCCGACCCCGCTGGCCCCAAGCCAAAGAATCACCACTCAGGGGAAGCCTTTCTTCTTTTTCTGAATAGTCAGTAGATCCCTCCTGTGAAAATAGTCTAAAACACAGCTTTTACTATAAGAGTTGATATACCCCAAGGATTCAAAATAACCTAGTTTCCAGCGACTTCCCTGGCACAGTCAGTGGTTAAGACTTTGCCTTCCAATGCAGGGGGTGCAGGTTCAATCCCTGGTCAGGGAGCTAAGATCCCACAGGCCTCGCCGCCAAAAAACCAAAACATAAAACAGAAGCAATATTGTAACAAATTCAATCAAGACATTAAAAATGGTCCACATCAAATAAATAAATAAATAAAATAACCTAGTTTCCACCTTTAGAAATGTGAATTCTAAAATTATGTTAAAGCTGATCCTTTAAATACTATTTACATCAATCAATCTGAATTTTGCAATTTTTAGCATCTTACTTACTTGGTACATTCTTCTAAAGACTGTACAAGCATTTGCTGGAAAGAACATATTTCTTCTAGATTTCCCATTAAATATGAAGTGTTTGCTGAACTTAACCTAGAGCCGAGAAAACAACAGGAGAAACAAGTGAGCAGCTTTACTTACATTCCTCTCTTCTCCCAGCCCAGCACCCTATTAAAAGTCTAATAAACAAATTGCTCATGTCTGTATGAAACTGCTGTCAATTCTGTTCCAGTAGCTCAGCCTCTATTCTCTGAAAATACGAAGGAACAGCCAAGGTGACTACTCTTTCACACTTGACACAATTATCTAACTTACTTCTCGGTGGTCTGCAGTGGCCGTAGATAGGTTGAAAGCACAGTCTGAAGTTCTTTAGAATATTCATTTTCTGTTTCCAAAATATTCTGTAGCACCTACAACAAATGATGAATAAATATTATTTGACATTAAGATGTATAAGCATTGGCAAGTTCATCACCATTGTTCAATTCACATTGTTGCTTCTATGTAATACTAATTTGTTTAATATCATCAGTCACTCCCTGTGATTAACTACTAAATCCATGTAATGAACTGTTACCAAGGCTACACAACTGACTTCATCTCACCGCCAAGCACATTTGACACAGGTATACCTAGAATGAGGCCAGAATGCATTCATCATCAGATAAGTAATGCTGAGTCCGTTTAGAAAAAAAGAAGGAACCACTGATAATCGCAACAGCGTGGATGCGTGGATGACTCTCTACAACACTGTGTTGTGCAAAAGAAGCCATTCACGACGAGGACATTCCGCACAGTCCATCTACAGTTAAGTCCAAGAACAGGCAAAACTAACCTACGATGGCAGAAATCAAAAGGCGGGGGTGGGAGGAGGTGACAAAGGGGAAAAAGGGGCATGAGATAAATTTCTGGAGTAATGGACAAGTTCTACATCATGGTGTGGGTAGCTGTGACACAGATACATATACCTATCAAAGCTCACTGACCTGTATTCTTAAAAGCCATGCATTTTGACATATGGAAAGTATATCAACTAAAAGAAAACAGGAAGTTTACCCTTTAGACGGTGTCTAGCAAATCTCAGTCCATTTCTGGGAACCTCAGACCTTCATTAGAGAAGATGATCAACCCAGATCATCCTATAAACATTAAAAATTAAAGGTCTACCAATGTAAAGCAACCTTTATGTAGCCACTATTGTATTTAAAGATAGGAGGATAATTATAAATCAACCTTAACATAAAAATGTTTCCCGATACCCTATAGCAAATATAGCCAAACTCAGTTAACAACTCTTAAAAACATAAACACAAGTACAAATCAGCTGAACTGAAGCGCGTGCCCCTTTCCATCAGCGACCGCCAAGAGCAAATCTCCGCCCTGGGCAGGGCGGGGCGGCTCCGGCTCTGCAGGTGGAGCCTGATGGAGCCCAGGTGCAAAGGTGGCCTTCTGCTAACTCCCGATGCATGCTGCACTCTGGGCCCGAGCAACGTGCCCTACCCGTGGTATCTCCAATCCTCGCAAAAACGTTCCTTTTACAGAGGAAAAGAGTAAAAGCAGAGAGAGGTTAAGTAACTTATCCAGAGCCAGAATGTGAGCCTTCAGCTGACCCTGCACTGCCCTGCGCTGCCTTCTCCAGCCACAGGCTAAGGGCTCCAGTGGAAGCGAGAACGATCCCTTCCTCAGCTATGGTTTCCATCCCACTCTGTTAGAGAGCCAGCATCTTCTTCAGGCAGAAAACCATACTATGCATATTTTCTGAGGATCTACTGCATGCGCTAAAATGTGCTGTCCGTCTTCCAAAACCGACACATCATCCTAAATTAATCCTGCAAAAGAAATTATACAGAATAAAGATATCAAACACGCTCGGTTTTCTCCCACGATTTTTGATAATCAAAATGTATGTCTAAACGTTTAAGAAAAAAGTAATCATTAAGCTAGATTTAGATTTCAACATTAATACAAGCAACACGGATTATTATTCTGCTCACTGCTGTTTTCTGCATTCTCGAGGAGAGTACAGTCATTCATGAGTAAATGCAACCCTGATTAGATAGCTCACATACTACACTATGTAAGATGAAGAGAATCAGGCTCTTTCACTGACTCTCAGCTCTGGTTTCGCCCCTGAATGGACCTATTCACAGATGCCTGGTGGAGCGGGCGGAGGGGGAGGGGTTTCTCCAGGAGACCCTCCCTTTGCGGGGAAATGTGGGTGCTGATCTTACAGTTACAACGCCTCCCCTCAAAGAAATACTCAGTGGACCCAAGGGTCAAAAGACTGGAGAACAGAGAGAACAGTGTGGCCCTGCCACTGCATCACCACAGCATCCACTTTAATCCACATCTTATCCTGCAAAATGACGTGAAGCAAACAAGCCAAGCATAATGAGTCCCTGAGCTAAAAAAATAAAATTTAAATTTAAATCTGTCACAGGTGCGTTAAGACAAAAAGCCCTTTCTTGATGTGAAAATGAACATTAAACTATGATTTCATGTCTCAATTACAACTGTTAGGAACTGTTAGCAACACTGCTTAGGACATGCTCAGAAACCTCTACACCTGTTTTCTAAAACAGAGAAACAGTTCCTGTGCGATGGAGGAGGAAAATCCCCGCGTGGCAACATCCGGCGCACGTGCACGAGGAGAAGGCGGCATCTCCTCCATCGCAGCACTAAGCAGAGCGAGCAGATACAAAAGCTTCCCAGAGACGCGCCCGAAGCAATGCCAGAGAAAAGACTGCATCGATTACGACGGTTAAGTTGGTAAATTTAAACTACTAGCTGTAAACATGATCTTCAAATAAGTGCTCAAGTCAAGCTCTATAGTAATCCCACCCAAACGATCCAAGTTACACTTAGCTTTTCACAAACACACGACCAAGACTTGCTAAGTGAGTCATGCTGGCGCCGACCATCCACTCTGCCAGGAGGCCACACGTCCCTCCCCGAGGTCAGCGGCACGTCTGTGTGCTCCAGCCATCACCTGTCTCCCCTTTCTTGACTTCTGCACACTCTGGCTGCTGCAGGACCCCATGAGACCTCACAGCCCGGCTGCCACAGCCCCATCACACAGAGGCTGGTCCAGACAACGCGAGCAGCTTTCCCAGGAAGAACAGCCTTTACTGGGCACCGTGAGGAACAGCCGGGCTGAGCCCAGCCGACACAAGCTCTCCCCGAGGCGGGAGGCGTGGAGAGCCCAGTCGGGCCAAACAATGGTGCCACACAGGAGGACGACATTGGGCAAGCCACACAGACAATCCCTGAACTGTCAGCCGTTACAGCAAAGCAAAACAAAGGACCAACTCATTACCCTGCAGACCACAGAAACTCACTTCATTATTGCCAGCGAAGGAGCGTAGAGCAGCGCTCATTTTACAAATGAGTCACAACTTCCACTGCAAATTTTGATAGCTGCCCTATGTTCTATTTTATGTGTCATTGACAGTCCTTTAAAAATAAATAACTGATTTACGTGTAAGAAAAAAAAAACAGTAACATTAAGTCATCTGATCCAGATACAATAAAAGATTATCATCGCAAACTAAAACCCAATTTCAAAACCATGAGCCTGGTTCAGAAACACAGGAGGAAACAACTCAAGAATGGCACAGCTATTCTTACCCCTCTCCCACCCACCGAACTAGCCCCATGGACCACAAGGAAAAATAACCATCGCACATTTCCTTTCAGCCTGGTCTATTTAAACTGTACTTTAGGGGTTAAAGTTTCAAAAAGTAAGAGAGGACTTGAGCGGCTCATAGCCACCCGCCCCGAGGGAAAGGAGAGGAAGGCAGGCCAGGCAGGGCAGGAAGCTGTGCCCGCAGCCCTGCCCGCCCGCAGGGCCAGAGGCATGAGGACAGGGCTGCAGCCCACTCCCCACCCCCACTGGCAGCCACTGATGGAACACAGAGTGCTGATTTCTGCGTGCTCTTAGCACTTCACAACATTAACTCGCAGAAAGAGTCTGGGGGGCGGGGCACGCAAAATGTGTATGTTACTGTGCCTTTTAGAAGGAGTTAGGTTATTTCAGTATTTCTGAACTTGGGAATTCATGAGGTCTTGGGATGTATTTCTTCCGAATGCTGAAGGTTTACTACGCAAGAGCTCCAGCAGAAGCTGCAGGGCCGCTCTGGTCTGTGTCGGCCAGCGGCTGGCCCTGGGAGCCAGCAGACCCGGGCGTGAGTCCCAGCCCTGCCATGTCTTCACCAAAGGGCTCTTACTGGTCTGTGACAGATACTCAGAGTCCAATCCCTGACTTCAGGTAGGAGGCATCTTACAAACCTCCTCGGACTCTGCCTTCCAACCCGAACCCGCGAAAGTCCTACTTGGAGCTCCGTCACGTGACTCCATTCTTCAGGAAGTGACTAGTTCACAAGACGGCCTTTCCCACGATTGAACAGCTCAACTCTTTCTTCATTCACAGGCCAAGCCTCAGCTGCTACTCTACCCAGCTCCTGCTACCAGCGGGAAATCTCCATCTATATAAAACAAGGAAATTACATAAAAACAGTGGGAGCAGAATTTGTCACAGACGCCAGCAGGCCCCTCGCCGTCGGCATGAATGTGGGTGGGATACAGGAGAGGAGGGCGCAGCTCCCCAGAGAGCACAGGGAGCTGAGCTGCCCTGTTCCGGGTGAGAGCCATAACGGGCCTGAGCCTCGTACGGGCCCCGGGTGGAGACACCAGACGTCAGGACTGAGAAGCAGTCTTGGCTAAGGTGGGCGAGGTAAAGGGACCATAAAGGATAAAAGAAGCCAAAGCAGTGCTTGAGGTCAGTGTGGCTCTAGGCCAACCTCCGGCCACCAGGCAGAGGCTCCAGGCAACTCCAGGAGCCAAGGGGACAGACAGGCACAGATTCGCTCTGGAGCACCGGAAAGGTCCGTGGAGGTTTCCTACAGCATTTTATGCAAGATGCGCGTCTATTCTGAACATTTATTAAAACCATTGATTGCTACCTTTTATATTTGCAATCTTTCAAAGACAAAGCTACCTTGCCTCTTCATTATACTCCGGGGAGTAGAAGCAAACAATGCCTCATTTGCTGTCCATTGATAAGGAGTACTGATGTAACCCTGGAAGATAAAGCCACAGTGCATCACTGGACACGGAAGGCCATAAGGACCCATATCTTCCCAGACGGACATATTTAAGAAACCTCATTCTCTACTGGTGACATCCCCTAAAAGGGGTGTCAAAAGACCGTTCACTCCCTCTGGGGGTGGCATCTAGCTTCTAGAAGAGAAGGACTTTCTCTGATCTCCACCAGGAAAGGTGTCTGCTACCAGGCCGTAGTGCAGTCAATTCCTTTCACTGTCAAACCCATCTCAGGCAGGTCACAAACATGTTCCCTTTCATTGTATGATCCTGACACCCTTGACTACAGCTCTCCCAGGTAATTAATCCTCAAATGGGATGCTTGTTGGCAAATGGAATGGTGGCCTCAGTGAGGTCTAATGCCCCAAATGCTTCTAAACACTCTTCCTAATAACCATGAAAACCTCTTAAGGGCCAACATTTCACCAGGCACCTTAAGGCCCACTGCTAATCCTCGCAACAACACTACAAGGCCAAGGCCAGCATTTCCAACGTCCTTTTACAAACACATGACTGTGCGAGCAGCTGGGGGGCTTCTGCCAGGCCAGCCCCCCAAGAGGACACCCAAACACTACACACAAAGCTGGAGCACCCCTCCCCCCAGAACCTAAAGAAGGGCTCTTCGGACCATTCACTGACCTAAGCCTGAAGACAGACTGACCTCAAACACTTTCACATTAGAAAACAAAGTTAACAGTGCTGGCTGGCTTTGTCACAAAAACTAATCAACTCTTTACTTAAAGTAAAGCTACGGGGTTTTTTCTTCCATCGTGACTCCCCAACCTGAGGTCTCTAACGCCCTGCTGACATTTCCAGCACAGTCTGGGCTCCGGTGCCAAAGTAATCCTCCAAACATCTCTACTCATCAAGTAATGAAATTCTGCCACACTCTCTGGCACACTTCCTTCTACTTTCAGTGACAACATTTTTACGTAATTAAATCACATTACCTATGTAATTTTATATTCTGCTTATTGCACCTAAAATGAATATTTGACCTTTTTTAAAGTTCATGTGCATTTTTAAGAATTATAAGTGGATGCGCTGCTGGTGTCTTAACCATTCTTGTACTGCTACATATTTAGGTTGCTTGAAACTTATTGTTGTAACAAAGCATCCTATGAAAACCCCCTTGAACAAGCATCTCTGAATACCTTTCAGGTAATTTTTCTGGGGTGGATTTCAAGAAGTAGAATTACCACATTAAAGGGCTTGAGTGTTTTTAGAATTCCATAAACAGCTGCCATATTACTTTTGAGAAACAGTTCCTGGTTCTGCACGTGAGGAACGTGGAAGTCGTCACTGCACCCTAACAACAAGTAAAAAGCTGAACAGACTGAAAATCGACAACTCTGCTAGAGTCCATAAGGGGAGGGGACACAAGGCTACTGCCCCCAAGATGTCGCATTGCCTGGAGCAGAGACACTGGGGTGGGAAGACCTGGGCTATAGCTGATGACGTGCTAGAGGCTCAGTGCAGACCAGCCTGAGTTATAAACCCTGGGGGGGACACAGTCACGGGGGACCCCCACCCCCAGTATCAGGAAATTTACCTCTAGGAGCTCAACCAGGTACCCAAAGTAAGTATCAGAGAAAAGTCGACAATCTGGATGATTCCAGCTATAAGGCAGTAAGAAGATTAGTGGTTGCCAGGGGTAGGGGTTAGGGTGGGGAGGAAAGAAGCCGCAAAGCACAGAGGATTTTTAGGGCAGTGACATACTTGACGTTGTAATGATGAATACACGCATGTACAGAGAGTGAACGTTAAAGTAAACTGGGGAGTCTGGATGAGTGTGTGTGTCAGTGCAGGTCCATCCTTGGTGAACAATGTCCCATCTGGTGAGTGATGCTGGTAATGAGGCAGGCCGTGCGTGCGTGTGTGTGTGTGTCAGGGTGGGAGGAAGAGGGTACATGGGTAGTCTAGCTCCCTCTCAAGTCTACCGTCAATTTAAAACTGCCCTAAAATAATAAAAGTCCTGTTTAACAAAGTGTCCAAAGAACTAAAGAAAACTATGCTTAAAGAATTTTTTAAAGTATGAGAACAATGACTCAAATACAGTCTGTACTGAACTATAAAAATAATCAAATGGAAATTACGAATTGAAAGGTAGGCGCTCAAGATCAGATTTGAGCTAGCAAAAGCAATAATTAGCAAACACAAAAAACTCCCTAGAACAGAAGGGAAGAATGAAGAAAAATGAACAGCACCTCAGAGACCTGCAGAAGGCCAGCGTGTCTGCCAACACGTGCATGGGGCGGGGGGCGTGGTCCCGGAAGGGGAGGAGAGAGAGGTGACAAACGGCCGTAAGTCACTAGGAGCCACTTCCTGCTCCCCAGTCTTGACCACCACATGACGGCGGAGCTTCCTCACGGCCTCTTGACCTCCGCGTGTTTGTGCCTCCACCTAGAATGCTCTCCTGAGCTCCCCACTGACCCCAAGTGGAGACCTAAATCTTTCACAGATCATCAGCCCACACTGGTCTCACCTCCTAGAAAGTGTTCTTATCTCTCAGTGGGGTTAAAGGTATCTGTACTTCTGCAGTTTTCTGTGAAAACAAAACCACACAAGGAAGTGCGAAAAGTTTAACACATTATTCTATTTGTTCTGCGTGTCATACTGTGTTCCACATTTTACTTTTCTGTATAATTTATAAATACGGAATTCAGGAAAGCTGAAACTGACTCCTGGATTCGTCACTAACCAGTTCTGTTCACTGCAAAGTGAGAGTGCTATATGCCGAAAGATGGTTCCCGCGAGCTCTATACGTCGATGTCCGTCAAGACCGCAATTTTAACCTGTGCTGTTCACTCATACAGCTTTATGTAAACAACCGTTTGGATGTGATTCTGAAGCCAAGGCGTTTCCCCATCATCCAGAATGCAAGAGTTGCCTGACTCAAAGACAACAGCACATGTGACACAAAGGCTCTTCTCCCTGTATAAGCGCAGTTAAAGAAGGAAATCGAAAGCAGCGCTGGTTACGTTTCAGTCCAGTAGAGGACTGCACGACACACAGTGCCGAAGAAAACAACCCACCAGGGTTTCTAGAAAAGCACGGCTACCTACTTTTACAAAACACCCAATGGAAGCAGGGATCCCGGAGACCAGCGCAGTGCTGCTGGCACCAGTTCACACGGCACCGACTGCTTTCCTCTGATACAATTATCTGGACAAACACCAGTGCAAGAGGAGGCTCTCCCTCTGTGGCACGTCACTGTGGATAAGGAGTGCGCTGCTCGCTGCAGCCTCCCCCGGAAAAGAAAGCAACGCCTCACCTGAGAATGTGCACGAAGAAAAGGCAGCTCCGTAAGTTGAAAGTTTTCCCCCTAACAAACCCTGAAGTGGCACAGGACCCCACACATAACACATTCCACGCACTGAAGAGCAAACATGTGGGCAGAGCCACGTCCCAGGAGCAAACCCCGAAGAGACAAAGATTCGAATGAGGAGGGTTTGGAGAGCAGAGCTCGGCCAGGAAAGGCAGGCGCCCTGAGCCCTCGGGACGCAAGTGTGCTCTGCCAGCGGGGGTCGGAGTCCAGATGAGGCCAGTAAAGAGCGCTAACGAGAATGGGGACAGACCAGCGAGACGGTGGAGAGATTCAAGGGAAGGAGGTGACCAACACGAGGAGAGGGGTGGCCACAGGCCACCAGGGGTGCGCTCAGTGGCCTGGCGCACGGAGACCGGGCAGCAGAAGAGGTACAGAAGTGAAGTCCTGCAAAGAGGAGGCCACGAATTGGGGGCAGGTGGTGAGAGGAAACACTGACGGGGAGGGGTTCCTGCCGTTCTCTTCACTGCTGCGTAAGCAACGCCTTTAGCAGGGCCTGGCAGAGCGAGCCCCTGACAAATCCTTAAGAAATGAATGAGGGTCCCCAAGGCCAACTTGCACTGCAAGATTTGGGGGCAGACGCGTAGGAGAGAGCTGAGCGCGCAGCCCCAGGTCACTGGTTCAGGTCTGCACGACGCTGCACCATCTCTTCATAAAAGCACCGGAGACGAAACGCTCATGATGAAAGGGCTACTGCCAGGAAACACTCAGCAGTTGCTATTTCACTTCAAATCCTCAAAGGTCTCGTGACTCAGATTTATATCTCTGATTAAGAAAATAAAAAAGATTGGGAGTGGGGAGAGAAATAACTAAATAAGTGCACACTTCCCACAGAATTCAAAACATAGCTGTGTTTAGAAAGTTTACCTTGCTGGCTTATCACACCAGGTAGATATATACCGGCAATGTAAAATTTACCCAAATCGAGACTTATCATTTCCCATTTCCAGCAGATGGAGCGGCTCAGGAAAAAGGAGGTTTGGATTAGATATTAGACTTAACGCCACAGGTACTTTTTAAGCTCACAAACTGCTCAAGTTTCAAAATGCGGCAAATTTTAGGATTCTGAAACCCTTGTCTTCACTATGTGCAACGTCTAGACACTCTCCTAATTTCATGCTATTTGATACACACACATCAATCCCAGAAAAGACTACGTTAACATACAAAATAAACTAGAAACTGTACTGATCTGGAAAACTGATGATCTACTCCAAATATGAGTATAATGGCACTTGATGCACATAAAACCTGTAAATCACATTATGCACCTTTTTAAAATCCCAGTGTTGAAGACCTGTAACCGTATGGGGAAATAATCACAATACCCAGTTATGCAATAAGAACAGGGTACTATTCCACACATTACTACAAAAACATAAGAATATTATAGAAATACATAGAGGTCAGAAGGAAACAGCAGAATATTAACAGTGGTTGTATCTGTGTGGCGGACGATACTTGATTTTTATATCCTTCCTCCCTCTCTAGGCAGTTTACCTACATTCTACACTACTCAGTTTTAGAGACATTCAAAAAAACAAGTTATTCTTCAAAACTGTTTTGCGATTACTCACCACATTATAATAGCTTTTGTTAATGGCAGTCGTATCAAATCCTTTGGGAGGGCTCTTCAAGGCTCCAGATTTGGGTGACACGGGCTTTTCTGAAATAAAGACGTAGGGCAGGTTTACGGCTCCACCCTAGAGAGGACCACGCGCGGCAGCCGAGCACCACCCCAGCTTCCGGGCCCAACTGAGCCCCCAGTCCAACGGGCGGCGGGACAGAAGCCCGTGCGGCCAGCAGGCCCCCGGCCCCATCTCCGCCGCACGGTCGGCTCCCTGAGCTCAGAGGCCTCCACAGCCGTGCCTCCAGCCCGTCCTCCCAGCCCAGGCTGAAAATCTGACAGATTATGCACCACTGCTGTCAACAAACAAAAAAGAACTAATCTATAAGCTACACATGCAGCTCAGGCGTGCAGTACGGGTGACTTATTAGGCCCAGAGCATCGGAGACAACGTTGGCAGACACCTAACAATATCAAGACATCAAGACCCATAGGCTGGACTGTATTTGGAGGGATCCAGGTCACTCAGGATGCAGAAGTCCCTCTAAACAATGGCAACAGACAAAGAAGGAAAGCCACCCCACGCAGGGCAACAAGAAAAACCGCACTGCCTTAGGAGCCTCCACACCAGGGACGACAAGGAAAGCGGTCACGGTTACTTCAAGGATTCAAGTACTGAACGTTACATGGCTTTCATCCAACTCCATTCAAGAGAGATTTATTCAGAACAGGTACTGAAGAAGCGCTCGCCAACTGATTCCTTGGCGCTCGTGTGTGTGTGTGTGTGTGTGTGTGTGACTGAGGTTCCGTGGGGCGGGTGTGTGTGTCACTGAGTGGGGTGCGTCTAGCACTGGTTCTCCAAGGCTACTGCGGCTGGACATCACAGTGGGGCCGGTGGGAGGAGAGAAGAAGCTGTGATGAGCACTGCCTGGGGGCCTCGGTCTGCACAACCCCCTGCCCCCCTTGCCTCCTCTGCAGGGCCCTGCTGTGCACATGGCTGCCGGGGCCCCTCTGGCGTGTTAGGTAAAAGGATGCTGAGCACACCTGTCCAGAATCTCTCTCTTTAGGCAGCATTTCCCTCCCACCCCAAACACTCCTGAGCTCCAGGTCCCTAATTCCAACTGCCCAATATCTCCATTATCTTCTCAGCAACAGAAACCCCAAAAATGCCCAAAGCAAAACGCACTGTCTCTAGCTGTGGGTCCCCCTCCTCCTATGGAGCTGTTTACCTAAATCTTCTTTCAATGCCTCACTGTAAGGGCTTTCCAAACAGCTGAAAATAACGAACAAAACAGAAGGTGTTATTCCTAGTTGAAAGAATTCTCTCTGCCCATGGGATGGAAGCAGAACTCCACAGAAAATATACTTCTAAACCATGAGAAATACAAGGAGGAAAACCAATCTAGTCTAGCTAATACACTTTGCTTCCCGATCTTGTATCTGCAGCTAAGCATTTAACTGTGGAAGAAAAAACTACGACGTTTCCATCCGAAGAAAAAAATGTCTTTTCATCTTTAAAATCTGCAATTTGGGGGAAGCATATACAACGACAGTAAAGGGAGGTGGCTGAAGCCTCAATTACCGCCCCGGGGGATCATAAACAGCACGTGGAGGAAGACACACAGCAACACGGGTGCAAGCAAGGTTAATTCATGAGAATGACTTGAATCTGCTTTAGATTTTTAAAAAGCAAATAACTTGCCAACTGCCTCATTTTACTTAAACTTAAGACATACCTCACAACATCACGGTTAATAAAATGCAGTCGATTTACTATGAGAACCACAAGGAAGAAGCTTTTTCAAAAGCAAGCTTCAATCTACTAATATTCTATAAAAATAAGGGACAGGCAGAAGAGACCCAGAAAAACCAAGGTTTAAGACCAAAGAGATTGTCTTTTCTCCCTCAGAAAAAAAAGCACACAATGTGCTGGTCGCTAAATGGAAACTTCTGGGCTGGGAGGCGTCATGAACACACGCCCAAAGGCTTGGGTCCAGACGCTCAATGAGCTGTCACACGAAGGAGCCGCCAACACGCCCTCTGCAGAAGGTGCAATTGGCGCCGTGCCACCTGCGTGCCACCTGCGGGAGACCGGGGAGGGCAGCGCTGGCTAACGCTCCAGGGACAGTCGTCCGTGGTGGCAGGGTGAGCAGAAGCGCAGGACCCCTGCGAGCCTCGGGTGGCCTCTAGCGCCTCCACCAGAGAAAACTTTGAAGTGTCAGTGCAACATAACAGAGGCCAAGTCATGGGCACGCATAACAGAGGAAAATGCACAGGAAACATATTAGAAAATACTCAGCCTTCCCAGTATCCTAAGAAAAACAAGACATTGTTCTGGCCCATCCAATGGCTAAAATAGATTCCACTCTCTGGGACGAGGTGGGGGAGCCAGGAAGACGGCACAGCGCCATCTTCCAGGGCCGACGGACACAGCACGTGCCCCCCTTTCTCGCAATAAATGTTCAAAAACGCCGATAACAACAGAAGCTAAACACAGGTGTGCTAAAAGAAGAGGGGGATGGGGACCACCCCCACCAGCTGCCCAAAGTAAAGGAGGCCGCAAAGTACCGGCAGTGGTGGGAGCTGCCCTGGGGCCGGGCTGCAACCAGTGCTGTTACAGGACTGCCCCGTCCCACCGGGTGGAGCTCTGGTGACCCTCCCGGCTAATGAAAGAAAGCCTAGAGACTTCTGTCCGCCGGCCAGAGAAGCAGCTAGGAAGTGTGCTGGCCACTCAGGGATGGGGGGCACAGCCTGTGAGAAACCAAAGCAAGCCTGACCCCGCCAAGCGTGCAATCCAAGGCCACACCATCTCCTGCAGGACCACCAGGATTTGCCAAGGGCAAGAAAGCTCTCGGAGCCCTGAGGAAGCCAATGTCAGCCGTCTCTGTAGGTACTTCTGCAACCCAGGGTACAGAGGTACCCACTGAACAACCATCCATCAAAGCACAATCCATAAAACAAAGCACAAGCTCATGAAGAATGAACCACCAAGAGAGTGTAAACAGAAAGTGTACGAGGGAACCAGTCCCCGAGATGTAGAAATTAACAGGATAATCTAGGAGGCTGTACAGCACATGTGCTTTAAATGCCTGGAAAGAAATTAGGACCACAATGAATTTAAAAGGCATGAAAATGAAGAACATCCGGAAAAGAATGAAACAACTTCTAGAAATGAATACGATGGTCACTAAAACGAAAATCTTGGTGGACAGGTAAACAGCGCAGTGAGGAGGGAACGGGGAAGGGAAAGATCTGAGGAATGGTCTCCAAGTGAGTGTGGTCCAGTGAAGCAAAGAAACGAAAGCATGAAAAGCGGATTAAAAGCCACGGAGGGTAAAATCTAACCGGATATTCAGGAGACAACAAAGCAAATGAGCAGGCAGCGTTACTTTCCAGAAACGGCAAGTTCTCGCATCCTGGGCTAGGGTTAGGGCAGCACGGCAGCCCTACACAGTCACCCCTCCATCCCCGGGGGGCGGCCCTCCTGCTGGCGATGCTTCCAGAGGCAAAGGCAGTCAAACCCCGGCCACCTCAGGACCCAGCTATCGTGGGCTTTTCTTGCGCCTCTTTCTGGAAGAGTAAGGGCTCCCTCTCGTCATCCCTCATTTCCCTCTGCCTCTCCTGTCCAAAGGTTTCACAGCCCTGCTTTCTGCGCTGGTGGCGGCCCTCCCGCCAGGCTGTGTGCACTGACCCCTCGGAGCCCACGGGCAACGCTCAGCCCTGAGGACAACTCTAACTCTGGCTCCCGCTTCTGAGTCCCCACTGTTTGTCACCCGGCCTGGAAACCATTCTCCCATCCCCAGTCAGGCTCCCCAGGGGTTAAGCCCCACGGTCACTGGTTTCTGTGCTGCCAGTTTCCTCAACCCTGTACTCCTTCCTATTGGCTTTCAACTGCTGAGCGTCTTCCTGGTTCATTTAGCGATAATCTGTCCTTGTGGACTCTCCTGAACCTCGGTCTGAGCCTGTTACAGAGATCTCCAAGTGTGCACAGGAGTGGGGAGAACGCCACACACGTGTGCCCCTGCTGAGCCTGCACAGGTACCAGCCCCCGGCTGCTCTCATACCCTCGTTCCTCCTGGAAGCCTCACAGCAAAGCCCATCAACACTTCCGTGTCCACCCTACTCAGAGGGATCTCCTCTTTAATTAAAATCCTAACATCAGGCACTTATCACACCTGACAAATTCGTAATAATTCCTTAATATTATCTGATGCAAGTCCATATTCAAATTTCCTGGTCGGTTACAACATGACTTTTGTAGTTGGCTTATCTGAATTAGGAACCAAATAAGATCTACACCGTGCATGGGGGCTGCTCTGCCCTAAGCCTTCTTTATCCTCTCAAAGCCCCTCCTCTCTTTACTTAACGCCAGCAGAGAGCACCGGGCACCGCCCCCTTCCCCATCACCCATGCTACCCAATTTTCTATTCAGGGGACCTCAGGTAGGCTTCCTGTTTTATGGGTAGACATTCTGTTGTTTTTTCACTGTTGTTCCCCCAGTTCCCACAACAGTGGCCACTCAAGTAAATATTTGTTGAATGGACGTTGGCTGTGATTTTAGAACCGAGTGCAATCGTTAACAACCTTGGAGTATGAAAAACAGAATGCAAAGGTGGAAAAAGGTCAAGGGTAAGTCCTCGTGTTACAACAGTGGGGCATCAAGAGATGACTGTCAATGTCCGTGGACATGAAATAAAGGATATTAGTTAGCATTCCTGATAAAGGGAACCAACAGGAGAGAGGGCAAGGGAGGACAAGTCAGAGAGAAAGTCTGCAGGACACAAATCAGGCAGAGAAGTCCCACCACACACAGGAAGGGGCTGCACGGAGAAGGCAGCTCATGGCGGGGGCCGGGGTCTCCCAGGGGCGAGGGCCAGGAGCGGGGGGAGGGGGGAGCAAGAGACCTCTGCTCGTCACCACATCGGCTTTTCTGTCCCACGTGCTCTGTTTTCACATGCCTGGATTACTTTTAATGTAATATTTCACAAATAAAACTTCTTTTAAAAAGAGCATCTCTATTACTGAAGACTATGAACTCTGACCCCAAACTGCTACAGGACAGTTGACCCATGGGCGTGTCCTTGAACCAGGGGGTGTTA